CCGTCCGGTATCCGGGGCTTCGCCCCGACTAATCCGGATCGACCCGCGTCGCGCACCTGGAGATGGTGGGTGAGTCTCCCAACGAAGGCTGCTGCATTCACAAGGGCTCGAACTCGAGACCTTGCTTAAGCTGGAACAAGCCGCTTACCACTTGATCCAACCCTTCGTTGGTTTTATAACATGATGTTAGGTAAGGGCTATTTTCATCAATTTGTATAGGTGAGGGGCTAAAAATGTCATAATATAAGGTGAAGGGTTAAAATCTACCAACTTTGTAAGGTGAGGGACTAAATGTTGGTTTTTGCTAAGAAAAAATTGGGATAAAAAAGAGATATATAATGATATATTAAGATTTAAGGAATAGAATAACAGAGGCAAGGATGAATCGAAAAGGAATAATAAAAAATAAACTTATAATCTATAGAGGTAAGGAAAAGGCAAATGTAGGGTAGAAATAAATAAAATGAGAAAATATTGAGCAAGAAGTAGAGAAACAAAGTTGCAAGAAAAATTAAAACTGAGGGCTGTGAAAAGGTGCAAATAAGAATATGAACTATATCATTTTTTATATTTAAGGATACTAACTTTGCATTTTTTTTATTTAAAGATTAATTGGATGGTGATGCTAACATGACAAACAACTTTTTTAACCATCCAATTAATTCTTAAATAAAAAAATGTAAAGTTTGCATTATTAAATAAAAAAAGTTGAAAATTTACCACTTTATTTAGAAACTAGCATATTTTGCATTCCTAAATAGAAAAAATGTTTAAATTTGTATCCTTATCTCCACATTTCCCAAAGGGAAGTGGAGTAAGGATAAGTGAAAAAGAACTTGAGAATAACATTCAAAAGTTGTGCCACATATCCTTTGGCTTAAAATATTTCTAACATAGATTATAGACAATGACAAAGAGAGGGGAGAAGTAGGGTAGAAAAGAAATATAAAATTATAAATGGAGATACGAGGAATGACTAAGAAAGAATAATATATAAAGAAAGATAAGGGATATGAAAGAATAATAACAAACAAATCATTAATATCAAGAGGGAAAGAGAGGGAAATGTATAGTGAAGAAAAATATAATGATAAAATGTGAGAGGGGGAAGCCAAGGGATATAGTTTCAAGAAAAATAATGATAGGTGTGGAGTAAAGGCAATTTAAAAGGTATCTTTTATGTTTTAAGATAAAATATTTTTTATAAAACATGCTGAAATAGGAAAAAAAAGTGTAAAAAAAAGGTATTTAATAATGAATTGAGATACATAAAATGTCTAAGAAAGAATAATTAAGATGGGAATATAACAAAGGGAAGAATAATATGTACGGTAGAGAAATAAATATAATTATATAAAATATGAGGGAAAGTTGAGAGATGGAGTCTCAACAAAAATTAATAAGAGGTGAAATAAAGGAAAGTGAAAATTTAAATATAAGGAGAATAATAAATCATACCTTTTATATTTTGACTTGACAACAATTTGAATATATACAATGAAAGAGGAAGACAAATTGGGTTAAAAAGGATATATATGAAATGAATTACTAAGAAAGATATAATGAAAGAAATTACTAGTATAGAGATGGATTTACGAAGATAATATGCTAGAATAAAGATGAAATGAATACAAAGGAAAGTAATGAAAAGTGTAAAATAATATAAAAAAATATCGGTATAGGAAAGAGAAATAAGGAGAGATACATGCATTAAAAGTAAGAATTGAAATGCATGACAAATAATATAAGTGTAGCATAATATTGAAACAAATTAGAAAATTAAAGGTGCCTCAAAGAGAAATATGGAGAGAGATACGGTCTTAATGTAAGAAATTGAGAAAAATGTAGGATGTGAATAGATAGGGATCGATATGAGGTAAGGAGGAGACAATAAGAGAGAGAAAGAATAACATCAAAATGTTTGAAGGAGTACAAATTCGTTGATGATACAATTATGTTTGAGAAAGCCTCAAAAAGCAACATATGGGCAATAAAATGCATTCTAAGGGCCTTTGAACTAGTTTCTGGATTGAAAATTAATTACTCCAAAAGCCAACTCATAGGAATACATGTAGAAGGGTATTGGTTATTGAAGATGGCTTATCTACTTAACTACAAAATTGGTGAGATGCCATTTAATTACCTCAAAGTCCCAATTGGAGGCAATCATATAAGAATCATAAGATTATCAATGTGGTAGGCTTTGATTGAATCTTTCAAAAAGAAGTTATCCCTCTAGAAAGGTAAATGGCTCTCTCTTGGTGGAAGGATTACCTTGCTCAAATCAGTGCTCACACCACTACCTATGTTCCTCATGTCCATGTACCTCGATCCTAAAGGTATTGTGAAGTTAATTGACAAAATTAGAAGTGCATTTCTTTGGGGAGGGTGTGAGATGTCTAGAAAAGTCCATTGGGTTAGTTGGAAGGGTATATGTAAAAGCAAAAGGGAAGAAGGGCTTGGGGTTAAGGACATTAGGAATTTTAATCTTTCTTTACTTGGAAAATAGTGGGGTAAGTTCACTAATGGAGAGGAATGTCTATGGTACAAAATTATTGAAGAAAAGTATGAGACTAGGAATGGAAATTGGGTCGATTGGATTAGGAAGGGCTGAGGGAGAGGGTCCAATCGATGAAGGGACACGTTTAAGATAGATGTGTTGAAGGAAAATCATCTTGGATGGCTATCCAAGGGATTTGAACATATAGTAGGGGATGGCAGTTGCACTAGCCTTTAGGATGATAATTGGTGTAGGACAGGTGCATTATCTAACAAATTTCCAAGACTCTACATGCTCTCTACAGGTATGAATAACAAAGTCAATCAAATGGGATCCTAGCAAAACAATCAATGGTGTTGGAACTTGACTTGGAGACGTAGTCTTTTTGAACGGGAGAAGGAAGCATTTGGGCAACTACAACTTATACTTGATGCAACCTTACTCCAAAAGGAAAAAATGGATAGATGACACTAGAAATATAGCAAGAATGGTGATTACTCATAAGGTCAAGTTACATGTAGTTATCATCACAGGATTTTGCCCACTGTTATGCATTCGATAGAGTATGGAATGAGACCATCCCCTCCAAGGTTTGTGTATTTGTATGGTTGATGCTTTTGACAGATTACCTACCAAATCTAACTTGTGCAAAAGAGGTATTCTTAAGAGTGAAGATGAACTTATTTGTTGCCTATGCCAAGAATAGCTTGAAGATAGAGATCATTTGTTCTTGAAATGTAAAACAATGGAATAAATATGGAATAAATGCTACAAATGGTGGGAGTTTAACACTATATGTGTGCTGACGACCACTTAAAATCATTAAGTGTAAAAATATAAAAGAAAAGGAAGTTGCCACTCGTCCAAATTATAAGGTGGGACAAGTCACCAAAAACGAGTCTGCACAGAGATCGAGGTCTGGAGGTTCGATTAGGAGTGAAGAAGGACATGTGCGCACCTCACAATCCACCACTTAAACACGGTTGCATACTTTAAAATTGGGGTTTGATTCAACTTATTCATTATGTTTGTATTTAAGTCTTAAT